ATTGTATTTGTGCTGCTTTTTCATCTATGTTTTCATTTCTTGTTTTCATTCTACTCATTATGCTCAATTAGTATTAAGCTTGTCATTTAAGTTTATCATGCCCGAAACGCTTTGCGTAATAGTGGCTTTAGGCATTGTATGTACTAGCTCTACCTATAAGTCAACCAATCTTTGTAAAAATTTATTGTATGTATGTACCTTACCTAAATAAACATTTTATTTTATTTTTTTTATTTATATAGAAGCATCAAGAGGAAGTATGGGCCAATAGGCCCCCCTGCAGTTACTTCCATTCTTATGCTCTCATATCCAATTAATACCCATAGTTTCGTGTTCTGTCTTGTATGTGTCATAAGTTTGTTCACCTCATCCAAAACTGTTGCGCCATATCACCTCACCCAAATGCAAGTATAAGTATGACGGATTAGCTGACTTGTTTATGAGACGTCTCCCGTCCACGAGGCTAACCAGAGCCCGTGCTTCTTGCCCCGCTCCTGTGCCAGGTAAGTTACGGGCTCACCATAGCCCGTGCTACTTGGAACTTGATCCGAGTAGCTGAATCTATAACAACAACAAGAAGCAGGAGTAACCACGGGAGACATCTCCCGTCACGCAGGGTGCAGTTGCACCTGCGCAGATCTCCAGTATCAGCTCTTAATACTGGTAATGGCTCCAAAGGGCCACCACTTACGGGCTATTCATGCCCGTGTCACCTTTTGGGTGGCTTAATCTTCATTAATCATTAATTTGACTTGTTTAATCCACAAGGTCTTCTCTGAATACTCTTTATTTTTCTCTCCGAGGTTATGGGTCCCTACAATTGTACCAGAGATGCAATTGTAGGGACAATTGCACAACTGAAATATATATATAATATAAACATGTTAATATGATTCTGTATTCCTTCTTGTAGATCGTTTATGCAGACAATAAACCTTAATTACTGGTGCCAGAATTGATCTCTCTGGCACTCTACTATACTGTAATAACATTTCTCTAGCCTGATACATTGCCTCTGATACCTGTCAGAAAATATTTCATCCAGGTCATCAGTCTCTGTCACTCCTCCAGTATGTTCCAGTTTCCAGAGCAACCTCTTATGTGGGACTGTCGAAAGCCTCGTTCAGGTCCCGATAGATGCAGCCAACCCACCCATGTATTTTTTTTTTTTTTACGTATAGCCTGCACTGGCAAACTTTGCGTACGTTATGAGGACATCAACAATGTTAATAAAGTGATTGTAAAGCTTCAGCTACCTCATACCGCCAGGTCTGAAGGGTCTAATGACTGGGCATTCAATAATGTAGTGTGCGAGATTATGACCACCTGTACCCACCTGCCACAGGTAACGGTAGCCCAACCTGATCCTGGCAACTATCATGTCCCTGTCTGGTTTTGGGCTGCTTATTATACTGGCGCTTTAATTCATGCCTTTGAGTCAGTAGGATTTCATTCATGTCTTTTGAGTTACGTTTTTGATACAGGAGGCAATTGTTTCAAGTGTCAAAGCTTTAAGAAGAGCAAGATTCTCACTACCTTTCTTGGAGTGATACTTGAATCGTGGAGGCGCAGATAAAAGATATGTTGAGTTTGATGAGATTCATTTATCTTACAAGGAGTTCGTATGTTAGTATCACTCAAGAGTTTTTATTAATTTGTCTCTAATGACTTTACTGCAGATGATCGTGTTGACGTGTATGGTTCTCCAGTATGGTAGGAAGAATCAGTTCTTCCCTCGTGTTTATACTTTATTTATTTATTTATATATACAGTTCTTACATTCTTGTACAGCCACTAGCACGCATAGCGTTTCGGGTAAGTCCTTAATCCTAATTTTCCCCGGAAAACGACCCGCCTACCCTCGTTTAACAACCAGGTTTACTGCTGTTAACAATTCACTGCTGGGTGAACACAGGCTTATTAAGGATTGATACCCAGTAAATCCTCCCTGGCCAGGATACGAACCTAGGACGAAACGCTCGCGAAACGCCAGGCAAGTGTCATACCACTACGCCACGGCGACCGCTAATCCTTGTGCATTTGCAGCGAAAAGTATAACCCTCATGGCCTTAATGAGAAGTTATATAAATCCGAGTTATTTTCACGCCATATTTCAGTATATATCACTAATATACCATAAAAGTAGAAATACAAATAATAATACTGTAATTCGTTTTATCGGGGACAGGAAGCCTGTGTACGTATATACTTCAGGATTGCATCGAGGTCTCTCAAAGGTGGAACTACTGACCTGTCCCAGTGTGTAACATCACAACAGTTGCCTAACTATCGGGTACCTACTTACTGTTAGGTGAAAGGAAGAGAGCCCAACCATTTTTGTCCCGCCTAGGAATCGAACCAGATCCCAGATTTTAAGTCGAGAACGAACCCACCTGTACTATGAACTGAATTATATGAACTACTACTACTCCTGGGTGTGTACTGTAGTAGTGCATGTGCACCGTAGTGGTGCATGTGTATGGTAGCAGTGTCATAGCAACCACAAGTTTACACAGTAGCTGGCTAAGGCAGACTACAGCAGAATAATTAGAGCTACTCGAGCTACTCTATCCGGTAAGCATTGATCTCGATATTCTCGTGCTTCTATGCTTATAGAATACTTATAGCAGTGTTAAATATCTATAAGATAAAGCAACCACCCCTCCCATACCCTTAACTACCTTTCCAATCGTTTACCACCTTTCCAATCTCTCCATACCCCTTCACCACCCTCCCATCAATTGATCTCGTCGCCCGTAAATCAACAACACATTCCCAGTCCTTCCATACCTATTCACCACCCTCCCAATCCTTCCATACCTTTTCACCACCTGATCAGTCCTTCCATGCCCCTTCACCACTCTCCCATTCTTTCCATACCCCTTCAACACCTGCTCAGTCCTACCATACTCCTTCACCACTTTCCCTCATCTCTGTAATCTTAATAAGGATGGAGTCTTTTGTTGGAAATTAATATGATTTACGATTTCATGCAAAATAGGGGAGGGTAAAGAGCATCCTTGGACAAAGACCAGTCACCCTGCAAAGTTTAATATATACACCTGTATACACAATCTGCCGACAGTCCCACGGGGTGGAAACTTTACTGGTGCCTCCTAAATCACGTTTTATGGATGCACCTTGATAGATAGATAGATATCTCAATCTCTCTCTTTATATATATTTCCTAGATTCAACATATATTGAATGAAATACAAACTTGCACTGATTAAATATTAGTGCATGACACTTGTAATCATTGCTTCAACATTATACACCAAGAGTACACCACCTGCTGTACCTGAGCAGTTGGGTGCTTAATAGGCAGATGCTTAAATAGTAATAATTATAGTGAAGAAGGTTAAAACATTTAAGACAGGATCTGCATTAGTTATGCGGTGCCTGTGACCCCTAATGTAGTTCCTGAAAGTTAAAATTGTATATTAAACAGAACAACAAATCTATTCATATTTTGATGTTTAAGTATGGAACAAGAAAAGGCTAGCAATCATAGTGAGCCAGGAATAATGCACTATACGCAGCACTAAGCTCTCGACAACACAAGACACAGTTGTCTAGAATTACATATCAATGATTTTTGCACCTCTATACAACTTTAACCTCCCCCTCCCTCCAAATTTTCTTAACATGCCAGGCCAATAAGTATTACATACAATTCATTTGTTTCATATTATTGTTAAAATGTTTTCCTTTAAAGCCAGGAAAAATGCAGTCTCCCTAATTAAAAATAAAAAAATCTAGAAAAAGAATAATAAACACTATTTTAATTCAGCTTTAAATCGCCCATAGCACTTCGTGTCATGCAACTTTCATTGAAATCAGATGAAAACTAATGACTCGGCAAGGATTTATGCAAAAAATAGCTAGTTTTGAGATTTACATTTTCCTGGTTGACTAAGCCACCAACCAGGAGGTGTGGGCAGAGACTGGGCCATGGGAACGATGCTCAAGGAAACTAACATTAGGTAGGATCCCACAAAAAAAAAAAAAAAAAAAAAATGCTCAGCAATATTTCCGACACAAATACATAACTCAATATGCCAAACACACACTTCGTATATTTTCTTGTCATATCAACACTTACAAAAGCTTATCTTGAGATGATTTTGGGGCTTTTAGTGTCCCCGCGGCCCGGTCCTCGACCAGGCCTCCACCCCCAGGAAGCAGCCCGTGACAGCTGACTAACACCCAGGTACCTATTTTACTGCTAGGTAACAGGGGCATAGGGTGAAAGAAACTCTGCCCATTGTTTCTCGCCGGTGCCTGGGATCGAACCTAGGACCACAGGATCACAAGTCCCGCGTGCTGTCCGCTCGGCCGACCGACTCCCTCTATAGCTCTACATTAATCCTAACTTTAAACCTTTCCTAAACGGATGCAATAGAATCCATGAACATCACACCAGAAACAGGTATCCAACATTCCCAAAAGCCTGACTACACCTATGCAAATGTTCCATGCAAAAGAAGAAACCCAAAATGGAACTACCCTCTTAATGCAATGAAATTGCTCAACTTACACCTCATCCAAAACCCATTGTGTAATTAGTGACTTTAATATACAATTTCCATACCTACTAATTAGCCACTACCATGTTCCAATGTATATTTTATAAATAAAATTAATATTTTAAGTACCTAATTACTTGCCTTGTGCTAGTAACTTGCACAGTACAGTACTGTAAACAATAACTTCATCAGTATAATTTCTCATCACACTTTCCTAATTAATAATGTTATGTACAGTGGATATTACACGATTGACGTTATTAAATTTCATATTACTGTACTAGAATTTCCCAACATATATCTCTATCACTCATTATATTTCTTTAGGAATGACTTCAATTAGTATTTTCTTCTTAGCTTGAAGAAAATATCTAACATCTAACACAACACATGTTAGTGGCAATTTTTTTTTATAATGTACAACTAATTCACCTAAACCTTTACTCCAAATGCTTTAAGAAAAACACATGATAATTATTTTTGTTTTAATAAAATATAAAAATAAAATTTAATCTCAGTACCTATAAAAAAAAATTACAATATCATATATAAATATAAGACAAGATTAATAACTAATACGTACATAGGTTCAGACAATCTTCTCATTAAAGAAGCAAAGTCTGACAAATTTGTCATGAAAAGCCCTAGTATTACCTCCCGATGTTTAATGCCAGTCTATTTGGAGATGATCTGCAGTGCTTTCCACCCCGAACATTTCCCCTCTTTATTATAGTTGTTTGTTCTTTTTAGGTCTCTTCCCATTTGCACATGCTAAGGGGAAATATATATTTTTTGTTTGCACATTTCTTTCTTGGTGGAGGAACATGGCAGTTGTTTTACATGTAGGATACACAAACCATGTGCTACTTCAAAAATAATGTTTAAGAGCATTCCAGATCTCTGAACATTGTTATATGGATAATTATTATATAACAAGGAATTGGCTACAAAAATGGACAAAGGCCCTTTTTAACAGTCTCCTATTCTACTGTGGTATGGTGAACAAGTAAAATATAATAAAAACGGCCATTAGCCACACATGCATCTTGTTGGTTTACATTTCTAATGGAAATACATTTAATTTTAAATCAATGAGTGTAACTAGGAACTCTTGAGCATCTTCACTTAAACTGAACATTAACACAAGATATTGCCTAGTATGAGCTATTACTGTTTTAAATATTACGAATTTCTCATATTTTGCAGACTGCAGCCAATACAGTATTACTAAGTGGAGTAAAATGGTAAAATTTAACTGGCCATAAGCTATCAATAAGAAGTTGGGCTAAATAGATACTTTTAATTTATAATCCAACAGTTAGCTTATCAGTTTTTTTGTTTGTTTTTGCTATAAATTTGTAGACTTAACACCAAAAGGAGAAATAATGAAGAAGTAAACTTAAAATATGATCATGTACTTGAACAGCAATGCATCCAGTAATGTTATTTAACAGTTTGTTCACATTCAAGCCACATAGTAGCAAGTAATTTGTTCATTTCAGGGCACAAAATTAAAGTAGAGAGATTACTTGATAGTACAGTATGTCAAATATACCATAGCAAATCCCTGCCGTTCCAACCCAAACCAACATTCATCAACTACATGTAATTTTCCCACCAGTTCCCCTCGTCAATAAAACATTTGGGAAACTTTTGATCGGCAATCATGGTATGCAGTGACGAGAGATTTGAGAGAACCTTTCACGGCACTGCTTCTAAGAGCAGAGAATCATGCGATACAATCATGGATGACATACACAAGTTACCACTATCCAACGCCAATACTAACAAATGCATATTCCGAATCATATTATATCTTAACGATAGCTAAATTTTAAAGCATTTGAGACAATAAATAATGTGTATTATTAATTGAGTCAGGTAATAAGCTTCCAGTGTACCCGATAATTTTTATGCCTTGGTGAGGTAGCATACGAATAGTGATTTTACTTTACATTTTATGTTATTTCTTCACTAACTCTCAAAATAGACACGATTGACAATGGTAAAGTCTGTACAAAACAAGAAGCTAAACAAGCTCCTGATATTGTAACTTCACCATAACGTGACAAGAACACATTTTTCTCACCAGATAAATGAAAACCCTTCCATTACTTAATCTTGGTAGCCGATAAGACAAACATGCAAAATATATATAGAGAAATGCCTTGCAAAATACAAAGAAATAAAATTTTCTACAATCTATAATCACTGTTTATGAAAATTATACTGCAGCTATTTAGTTTCTTGAATGGTTTGAATTTCCTAGTTTTTGCAAAACCTTTCGAGCTATTATACAAACATTAATATTTTGACAATTAACTACTTTATACCTTAGTTATAATACCGTATAGCCACGTTAAGCTTTTCTTTGTGAATAAACCAACCCATTCTCCCATTTAGATGGTACTTTTTGTAAGTATATAGACCATCGTACATACATACACATAATGGACAATTAGATAATAGCATTTGGTACTACACCTGTATTCATTTTATAGAACCCCAAAAAGAAAGCTAAAAACCAAACTTTAATATACTTAGGCCTAATAAAGCACATATATGTACTAAATTAGGTCTCATAGCATGTATTAGGCCTAGGAAGGTTAGGTTAAATTTTCTTTGCAACATCAGTACCAAAACTTTTCTGGTTTGTCCAAATTCAATAGTACTGATTTTTACTTTCTAATGCCTTTGTCAATATATGAATGATAGTCCTCATCATTACTATAAGTACTACACAAACAGGAGGATGGGCTGGAATAAACACATGGAATGCAATGAATGTAGTGAGAAATCACACACACTTAGTAAGCTAACAAATTATTTTAAGAGTTTATCAAACTGATAACTTTGGCAGTGGTATATTTGTTATTTCAAAATCAGTAAAATGGCAATAAATTAGAGAGAATTTGCTTTGCATATCTCAGTAACCTAAAAGTTATTAATCTTCTAGTTCTGGTGGCTACAATTCTATTGTCTTTATCACCTTTGCTTAAATGCCACAAAATTAAAATTCTTATCCAAGCAGTTTTATGAAACAACTTGGTTAAAAACTCAGAAAAAATGTGAAATAAAATTCTTAATACTGTATAAGTTACGACTGAAATGAGATAAAAAAAAGGCAGGTAAACAATGGTGGGGTAGGGAATTAATTCCTCCCATTACACACACACTCACACATCTCTTACATCATAAACAAACATCAAGTTTCTAAATATTCATTCCTATAAAAAAATTGTATAAAATCCGAACTATGTCTGTACCTTATTAACTTCCATACACAACTGAAAATTTAAAATATTTCAAAATGGTTAAATCTATAAAAACTCAACTCTGCATCAATCACATTAATGCACAAGACTTGTGTTTGACAGATAATGCTAATAAAAGTTATTATTTATAAGCCTGATATTTGGCATATGTGCATCATGAGATTGTTGCACTAACTTAAGGCATCTAAAACAATGTGACAAGAAAAATTTACATTTTTCCCTTTCTTGCAAAAGGAAATTTGTTATATATATCAAATATACTATTTTCTCAATAGGAATGACAACAGCATAATGGCAGCAAGAGCACTAGCTTTGGACTACAGGCCATTTTTTTCTACTTTCTCAGTTATGTTAGCTAGTCTTATTTACAAACAAAAAATCTGAAGAATGACAGTTGGTCTTGAAAATACTGTATACATTACTGCCATTCTGAAGAGCAGTGAGTTGCACAAAGAGTCCAACTTCTAAATGAGATCTTGCTAGTAAAAGAAAAATGTTTGTTCAATGGCACAAATTCACTCTATTCATTAATAAGAACATGCATGAAATTCATTACTTATATATAGATTTAAATGTACAAATATAGCAGATAATAAAAAAAATAAATACTTATGTATCTAGCACATTATGTACACAGTGCATACAGGAAAGAAAACCATTTACGCTCATTCCAATACTGTGCCTATATTCCTACTTTTAAAGTATATATACACAAATATATATATACACATTGAGCAATACTTTGATGAATTAAAAATGTTTACAGCTGACAGTCACAACCTTCGTAAGCTTCTCTTACACTTACTTGAGAATATTCCACTACCTTGTCTTGTGCGTGGTTTAAGTACAGAACAGTCTTTAGAATTGGAGTGACGAGGGAGGTGGCACCGGGTACAATAATCATAACCACACGTTTTCTGCGAACACACTGCCCTCTGCTGGGGTTTTAGCACTTTAGCCGGTGCTTTACATTTCACGCACTTCTGTAGTTCCTCTCCCTGAGGCAACCTTTGGCCTTCCTGAAAATTTTAAATTAAATTAAATGGGATATACTTCCAATATAGCTGAAGTAGGGAGGTATCCTGTCCCTATACCAGGTACATGTTGCTACATATCAGTATTACAAACAAGCTATAAAAATTACCCTCCCCTCTACCCCAATGTACTGTGGTAGATTTTAAAGAATGGACCGAAGAACAGAGAATGAGTGTGTAGGGGAGAGAAGGATAAAGCAGGTAGTGGGAAGGAGGGTAAACAAACTTTTGCCGAAACTTTCAGAAATTTAACAAACCTCAATAAATCTTTCCGAAAGTGTAAGAGATTTAACACTAAAGGTAGGCAAAGGCTTCTTTGGACTCTTTGCACGAAGGTTTTCAATACAGGACAACTCTTTACGGGGCGAGAGTGTTCCTAGCGATGATCCAGCTCCTTCATTCACTCTCTTCAGTTTAAAATTTTCCTGAAAATTGCACAAGTATATTATATACATTATAACAACGTGGACATATTTCACAATTTATAATGGTGTGCCAGCACTTATCTTGTGTAGATTATTAAGAGGATATCAGACATCAATTAGACCAGGTTTAAAAGTCTTCTGAATTGTGTACATATTAATTTTCTTTTCAATTTGCTTAGCTTCATATCTTTCATATCATATTGTTTTCATCCTGATTAGTACAAAATATATTTCCCTCATACTATACATTATCTTTTTGAAATTCTATTAAAAATACATTAATCTCAAAACAGCCAGGGGACTAAACCGTTTTATTTCCATAAGAGGCTTATGTTATAAATGCATTTAAAAGTTTTCCCTAAAGAATGAGGCATTCTAAAGATAAACAATGGAAAGAAAGCATGCAATTTTTTTCTGTGATCACAACGAAATCAATATTCGTACATGTGGATGGGAGGGAGGGAGAGATAGAGAGATAGAGAGATAGAGAGAGAGATAAAGGGAGAATGCTAAAGTAAATTAACATGCCATAAAAGAATAACATAGAGATCAGTCACCTTTCCAATATGTTCCTGTTCCTTTCTTCTTCTGTTAATATAAGACATCCTTCTGCTGTCGAGTACTTTATTTTGAAGAATTATGTTGCGCAGTTGTTGGTTTACATGACTCAGATGTAACAGATCTTGTCCACTCATGTATTTCAAGACCTTAAACACCAGGTATTCAGTATCTTTCAGCATTCGATTGAGTATGTTCAGTGGCTTTTTACGTTTCCCAGCAAATCTTGCTGATGGTAGTGTCTTGCTGCTAGTTTGTTTAGTACCAGCAGATTTCTTTTGTTCTGAAACTAATTGTTCATTTTTTTGGAGTAAATTGGTCCCTTTGTCTAAATCACCTTCACAGGTCATTTCCAATTCACAGATCTCGAGCGACGAGGTAATATACAAAGTAGAATCACCAGTGGAGATTTGCCGACTTCTAGACGCACCATCAACTGGCTCTATTTTTGTTATAGGAGGGCTTAACACAGTCCCACTGCTATGGTTAAAGGGGGTGCTCGTCAATCTAAAATAAATCACCAGTTTGACATCATGATTAGTACAGTATATACATGAGGAATACTAGAGCTGTTAACTAATGACACCTAATCATTTGTATCAAAATAAAGAAAAATTCTGTTATGTAAAATATTAATACTGTACATGGTATATGGCAGTTCATTTGAATAGTAATGAAAATATAGTCCAAGGTGTAAAACAGAAGTGGAATGCAAAGAGGAGAGTGCATAATTACAACCTCTGGAAGAGTAATGCCAAAAATTCATGGATAAAATGTGCGTTACTTTGTCAAATTATCTGCAGCACAAAAAAAGTAAGAAATATTAATCAACATACACTAACTATTCTATAAATAAAAACAAAATACTTGCCTCCCAGTTCTTCGTTTGGTAATATCAGGAGTAAGACAAATAGCTTCTTTTGAATCAGGAACTTGTGGCACAGGGAACTCTTTAATCGATTCTGGCGATGTGAGAATATCTGAACTATAACCCGAATCATTAGTCGAGCTATCACCTCTGTTTGCAGGATGTAGGCATCCATAGTTGCCCTCTACTGGCTCATGGGATACATTCGACTCCATATTTTTCCCTCTGAAAGACAAGCAAATGGCATTCAGAACACAATCAAGTACAGTACTACAAGATATGCAGATATGCATCACAACAATAAATATTATCTACCAGTTCAGTTCATTCTTTATTAATTTATTTGATTATAGTAAAAAACAAAGGAATAAGACATATTACTGCTGAATCATTATAAATTACAGTACTGTACTTATTATCACTATACTGTACAGTGGACAAGAAATGACAGTAAATTTGAGGATGTTCCTGAATAAAATAGCTGCAGGAAATTTCTGTACAAACAATTTCACGAGTACATAATGAATTTTACAGATATTAAATTAAATTGCCAAAATTATTTATAATTTTATATGAAGAAAATTAAATTGATTAAAAAAATACATATTAGCCAGTAAGGTAAGGTAATTAAAAGGAGAAAGTGCTAAACAAGTATTAGGGCAAGAACTTTGGCTAGGACAGTGGGATGGAAAATTGCCCAACCACTTGGGCCATTGGGGATTGAATGCCAACCTGCAGTAAGCGAGACTATTGCTGTACTGACCAGATTATTAGGAAATACAGTACAGGTACATATTTAAATGCCCCTAAATGTAAATACTGGCAAGACATTTTTTCTTAGGCTACAGTAATATGTATAGATAATTTTGAAGTGCACCTCAAGCTATCATACTTCAGTCATAATATTAAAAAACAAAACATTAGAGAGTACTGCATCAGGTCTGTTAGCTCATACTAGACAGACAAGATTTACATTCGCCTCTCACCCATATACCTACCAAATCTATTCTTAAAACCTGTTAAACTGTCTCAATGTTAGCTGACAATCATTCCCCTCATCCACAACCCTATTTCCAAACCACTACTTCGATTAAACCAATTTTAGCTTACACCCGCTTGTACCCATTGTTGGAGTTTCGATCTGTTTTTGACAGTTTCATAATTCTGTTTATGCTCCTAAACTACTTAAAAAGCTTGTTATCCCCTCTTATCCTGCATGAACATAAAAAATTCAGTCAAGGAAGTCAAGATAGACAAGAAGCAGATGATGTCTAGTAGATAACTAGTATAAGAAATGATTAATAAAACGAAAAGACAGTGTTCTTAAGAGTAAACTGTAAGGGAGAATGTAAATATGATTTACTTAATAAGTGAATGATAATAGAATGGTAAAGTTTGTATTCAAGCAAGTTTGTGAGTAAGAGATGAAAAACAAGAAAATGGGCAGATACAGTGTCACTAATTGTAGGAAGCATGTGAACATTAAATAAGGTAATTAGTGATTGAGAACAAGGTGCTTGTAAGAGTAGTTCGTTTTAGACGAAAATTTAATAAGCTTTTGTACATAAACAATATATATATATATAATATATATTATATATATATATATATATATATATATCACACAGTATATTGAAAATGCACAGTTTAAGGTGGAATTATGTTGTCTTGTCTTCATATTTTGGGAAATTGCCAACTGCCAAGATACTAGCATCAACCTAACGGGACATTAAGTCTGCAGCTTGAAGAGATACCTTATTTTTTCCTAACACTTTTCTCCACGAGTATTTCAAAACAAACAAGAATGAAAGAGTTCTGCTATCCATACTTCAGATGGTGCTACATAGCCTTCCCGGATTGGTGCCTTCTTTGATAATTTCTTACTTACTATCTATACTTCAACTTTCTAAGCAAGTTCGGCCAGGTTACTTGGTCAAGTTTCAGATAGACAAGGTCACAATGGTTTATTTACCAGAGAAAAGGTTGAAAATTGGGCGAATTTTTGCAACCACTGTTTTCCCAACAGATTTCCACAAGTTACTATTCTGAAAAGTACTTCCTGTTGCCTGCACACAGTTGGTGATCCTTCATGTCACATTATATACAGTATATATGAAGTGTGGAAACAGGGTTATTTATAGAACAAATTACCATGTAGCATAAAGCATATTTGAAAGGTAGACTTTTTTCCAAGAGTAGGTTAGACATACTAGTATATGAACAAATTTGAGTGGATAGATAGGAGCTGCTTCGTATGGGCCAACAGGACTTCTGCAGTTTTATATTGTCTAAATTGTTGAATACAAGACTTATAAATGATAGGCAATAAGAAGAAATAAAACTGTTAAAGACTAAAACCTAATGTTTTACTGGTGTGGGTTGGTTAAAGAGGGTGACAAATAACAAATATAAAGAGCTCAGAGCAACGACGTCAGCTCACTCACCTGACCCCCACCGCGAACTCCGCCATTTTCACAACAAAATTACAAGTTTATATCTTGACCAGCAACGCGAGGATTAGGGCTCAGTGTTGTGCTAGGTGTATGTGGGTGTGTGGGCCAGGTCAGAGTGTGTTTGTGTAGTAGGCAGCCATGTGGGCGGGATGCGGGCGGCAGCACCGTCCTCGCACTCCAACGGCTGACGGGTTCGAAACTGTGCGCCAAAGTGACGTCATCATGTAAACACAGGGCACTACCTGCTCAAAATTCATGAAAACTCATCTAAGCAGTTAAATTCAAGTTATATGACATAGAAACTATAACAAATAAACAAGAAAAAAATAGTTGAACCAAATTAATTATTATTTGCATCCGCTAAACTTCCATTTTCTTATTAGACACTTCCATGAATTTACTAAAGCAATAATACAATAGGAGACAAAAATTGTCTGAAAAACGTTATGGATGCTCTTGAAGCACCATCAATCAAGTGATGATACTTCTAAGTTCATAATGGGATTTAACTTTTTTCTGTTAACAAGATTAAATTTTAATATCTTAAACAAATACAATGACAATAGGCGCCAAAACCTTCTCTGGAAAACGTTGTGGATACTTGAGCACCATCAATAAAGTGATGACACTTCTAAGTTCTTTATGGAATTTAACTTTTTTTTTATCAAGCTAGATTTTAATATCTTAAACAAATACAATAGTAAATTAGCAAATTACAATGAGGAATATATGTTATTATCTTCAATTAATATAAGATCTGACGTAATGTTAACTGGAGAAGTGTTAATTTTAATTTTCATTCATAATTAATATGGTTACACAGGGTATGAATAATGTGAAAATATTTAATCATGAAGGAAAAATGAAAAGAGAAATTACTTGAGCGCTCGAACAAATCAACACATTTTCAAAAATACGTGATATATGTATATTTATTTACGTGAATAATGAATTGGGTACCATTATAGCCAACGATTTTTCAGAATTTGTCTAGTGTATATGTCAGTAAACATATTTATTTGTATATTTGTGAATTTGACTTTATTCATTACAACTTATCAACAGAGCACCAGGAGCAGCAGTTCACCACATTAAACGCCTTAGTCCAGATGGGTGAGAAACATATGCACAATTATGGTGATCCATAGGTCGTTAACCATGTCCCATAATTATAAAACCATAGGTCGAAATTAATCGTCGAATGGTGCCAGGAGTGATTGATGGTTCCAGACTTACAGGATATGGCTCCTGACTTTCGGGTCATGGTTCCAGATTTATAAGACATGGTTCCAAATTAATAGGACATGGTTCCAGATTAATAGGACATGGTTCCAGATTAATATGACATGCTTCCAGATTAATAAGACATGATTCCAGATTAATAGGGCATGGTTCCAGATTAATAGGACATGCTTCCAGATTAATAAGACATGATTCCAGATTAATAGGGCATGGTTCCAGATTAATAGGACATGGTTCCAGACCTATGGAGCGCTCTAATGACCCACTGTACACTTGTGTGTTCGTGAGAGCACAAACAGCACTGTGATACAGCAAGATGTCCGCTATTGGATGATGTACTGTCATGCGTGAACATTGTTTTTGAAGTGTTTGTGCTAATTGTTTTATGTTGCTAATATTTGTTTCATGAATAAGGAAAATCCAAACACATGCAACAAACCACCGCACCTTCACACACTCAACACACATGTGTTTTTTTTCTTGACTTGCACATGAGACGCAGAGCAAACCTGACACTCCATTTGGTGTTTTAGGATTGCAGTTTTGCAATAGAAGTGTATCACCCTAAAGGAAGTATCCAGCGCAGTTATCATGCATTGCTAGTTAAAGCAACAATTAAATTGATTGTCTCCATCTATTTTAGTCTAAGTTATTAACGAAGCTTAAATGTTATACTGACCTGTCTCTTGAGTTTAACTTAATGTGTGGGACATGTCTGCTATCCAAAACATTCATGATACTGAGGAGATATAGTGTCAGTTGACACTACACTGTATTTGTTTATATGGTGTCTTATATACGCTTAGATGACGCTGGAGTAACTAACGCACGTTGATCCAGACGGTGATGTCCAACGTTAGTGACGGTGATCCAACGTTAGTGATGGTGATATTGAATGTTGGTGACAGTGATATCCACCTTTAATGACGGTGATATCCACCTTTAGTGACGGTGATATCTGTTACATTACTCGCTACATATCCAACGTTTCTCCACTGGCACATGCTTGCTGAGACTGATGGCTGCTAATTTATTAAAATCATCCGAATATATATATATTATTACTGCAGGTAGGAGTCTGGAGCACCAGGAGGCGCGCAGGGCCAGCGTCTCAAGACTCGACCGGAGACGGCACATATTGTGCCCTCTCTGGGTGCTGAGGGAGACTCAGGCTGGCTCTGGGTTCTTCCAAGAAAAAATATGTGCAGTAAACTGTAAGGCGAGTGATGTTCTATGTTTTTTATTATCGTCTTCCAGCTCGAAATCTGTTTTGAAGTGAACAGTTGACATGCTTATTATTTCATCATTCTTGATAAAATTTCCTGTTATATTTTCATTTAAAATGAACACTCTCTAGTCAGTTTTAACAATCACTTAATATGCTTAAACAATAGCCTATATATCCGGCTGATTTTGGTAGTTTGACGGAGCATCTTTCAACAGGTGGCAATTACTGACTGGTTCAACCACCAACTAAAGGAAGAAAACATCTTTCTGGGCAGGAAGAGGAGGAAAACCAAACGAAAGAAATCCCTGAAAGACAGAAATGGTGGACAAAAACATGTACCAAAATCTAAAAAGAGACCTTGGTCCTCTGGTCGGCGGTCACAAGAGTGGTAGTCGCTCCATCGAATTCCACAGCGGGCAAAATATAATCCAGACGTTAAATCAACGTTGATTTAATGTCATATCAACGTCGTTTACCTAGATTTGCTCCGGGGGCGTCTTGGATCAACCTTGAATTAACGTTACTCTTGGATATTGTGTCCACTGGGAAAAAGCTTCTTCTGGACAAAGCTGGTCAGACGACGTTGATGTTGGGGTGAATTAACGTTGATCACTTTGTTCCTTTATTGATTTAATGCTACTCGAGCATATTTGCCTTACCCAGGAATCAAAATCCAGGACCAATTTTTGAAGTGTAAGTTTCTCCTGTTCACCAACCCCATCTTTACGACTCCAGCTGGTTCTACATTAAAAAATCATCTTTGGAGCCGTCTCGACGATAGAGCTGTGGATAGCTTGACTGACACTTAAAACTCACCTCTTTTTGCTCTACAAAAAGATAATGAGTTTAGAATATTAAAATATAACTCATGGTTATAATTTATTGTATTTGAAATAAAAAATAAAATAAAATAAAATGTTTATTTAGGTAAGGTACATACATACAATAAATTTTTACAAAGATTGGTTGACTTATAGGTAGAGCTAGTACATACAATGCCTAAAGCCACTATTACGCAAAGCGTTTCGGGCATGATAAACTTAAATGACAAGCTTAATACTAATTGAGCATAATGAGTAGAATGAAAACAAGAAATGAAAACATAGATGAAAAAGCAGTACAAATACAATTATGTCGACAAACAGCGCTCTTTAAAAAAAACAGACATTGGTTGACAATAGAAGGGTAAGGTAGGTTACAGGGAATTTATTAGGTATAGCTTCGTTTTTAACTTAAACTGGTTGAGAGAGGTACAGTCTTTAACATGGTTGGGAAGGTCATTCCACATTCTGGGCCCCTTGATTTGTAGAGCATTTCTAGTTTGATTAAGTCGTACTCTAGGAATATCAAAACTGTATTTATTTCTGGTGTGGTGCTCATGGGTTCTGTTACATCCTTCTATGAAGCTTTTGAGATCAGGATTGGCATTATAGTTTAGCGTTTTATATATGTATAATACACATGAGAGAATGTGCAGTGACTTAATGTCTAACATATTCAGAGATTTGAGTAGGGGTACCGAGTGATGCCTGGGGCCAGAGTTGGATATTGTCCTAATAGCAGCTTTGTGTTGATTAATTAGAGGACGTAAGTGATTTTGGGTAGTAGAGCCCCAAGCACAAATACCATAGTTGAGATATGGATAGATAAGGGAGTAATAGAGAGTCACCAGGGCAGGGCGTGGTACATAATATCTGATCTTAGAAAGAATGCCCACAGTTTTTGAAATTTTTTTTGATATATTTAGAATGTGTCCCTGGAAATTCAGTTTGTGGTCAATGAGAATGCCAAGGAATTTGCCATCTAATTTGTTACAAATTTGGGTATTGTTTATTTTGAGATTTATTTGATTAGAGGATTTATTGCCAAACAGAATATAGAAAGTTTTGTCAATGTTAAGGGTGAGTTTGTTGGCAGTTAGCCAAAGATGGACTTTATTTAGTTCAGTATTTACTGTGGCATTTAGAGCAAGGGGGTCAGGACTGGAGTAAATGAAGGTTGTGTCGTCAGCAAATAGAATTGGTTTGAGGTGTTGGGAGGCATTTGGAAGGTCATTAATGTAGATGAGAAAGAGGAGAGGGCCAAGTATGCTGCCCTGTGGAACACCAATGTTGATGGGTAGGGTGGGAGAAATTGTATTATTCACAGAAACATACTGGAGCCTGTCAGTAAGGTAGGATTTGAGGTATTGTAGGGAGTGTCCTCTGACTCCATAATGATGTAATTTAAGAAGAAGGTTTTGGTGGTTGACAGTATCAAAAGCTTTACGCAGGTCCACAAATAACCCAACAGGGAACTCATTTTTATCAAGAGCTGTTGTTATCAAGAGCTGTCAATTTGTTGTAATTAAAACTTGTACTGACGATCGTGTACTACTTTCTGGGTTTGGAGTGAAATGTCACAAAAATACATACAACACATTGCTAAATAAGTCTCAAAAACGGTTGGTATACTTTCTAAAATCAGATATTATGTTCCCCACTCTGCTCTCATCTCATTATACTACGCATTAATCTATCTCTATCTGACATACGGTATCTGTGCATGGAGTTCAACCACTGCAACTTACCTTAAGCCTATCATCACAGCAAAAATCAGCTATCAGAACTATAGCAAACTCTGTCTTCAGACAACACACAGCCCCTCTGTTTAAGTCCCTTAATATGCTAAAAATACACTCCAGTCTAATGTGCAATCTACATGTACAAAACCTTATTCTTAAAT